GATCAGGAAGGTTTCCACCTACGCTTGTGGTAACTTATTGTTTGAGTGCTCTCACCATTTTATTCCACATTTTGCACTTTGTGTGTTTCGAGTGATCCACACAGGTGATTTTACCTTTTCTTACCATTGTATATCCATACTGACATTACTGCAACAATTTACCTTTTAATAAAACCGCCAGAAGAGACACAAAGGGGGACATTTAAAAAAGTGTCACTCATTCATTTGCAACTTTTATGTGTTTTTCATGAATTATTCCTTCTGACGATCTGTTCGACTACGTATTACTTTTGCGTCTTTTCTATCATTGTGTTGCAGATTGTGTGTGTTACTATTTAACCATTATTAGTATTGTATGGTTTGGGGTTTTTCCCGTTCTCTTTATTTTGGTGTAGAAATCGAGGCAGAATGTTCGCTCATTGGGAGAGATTTATCCAATAATCATGTTCTGACATGGGGAGGGGGCACCCATGAAATGGAGCTGCTTCTTCCTCTGGTTGTCATGGTGATTGCACCACTTTTAGTATTTTGATTACTCTTTTAGAAAACAACACTCTTTATGCTTTTAAAAGAAATCAATGACTTGGAATCGTTTCGAATTTCTGAATCCCCAAAAACAGACATTTTTTTCAGATCACGTTGATCAATGTCCCTCGTCGAAGGTCAGGTAACTACAACACAATCAGCAGCAAAGCTTGTGATTTAAAGGTTTCTCGCCAGAACTAGAAGCCGTCTGCCAAAACAAACGATTGATTAGGGATTCTGCTGCACGCAATACATAGATATCACGTTATAGCACTACCATTCCGATCATCCGATTCGCCTAGGATTTGCCGTAAAAAAAAAAAAAAAAAAAGAAATAGTTTAGACATCTTTATACAGATCACAGAGGCGCAAAGGCAAATATTGGACGAAGGGGATTATGTTCTGTGTTGGAGATTGTCCCCTTATTTAAACAAACCCGCAATGTGCAGTGACAGCGCTATTAAATCTGCCCAAGGCTTCACATGTCCATCCAGGCTCGAAACAGGGAGTTTGAAGGCTGTCATCTGCTGCGTTAATGACATCCTACGGAGACATGTCACCTAGCTAGGACGCGTTTGCAAAAGGAATCATTTGTAAAATGTGCTACTTCATCAAATCAATGCAAACAGAGCTGTCCTCTTAAACGCTGCTTTATGCATACGGTAGGGCGCGATTAAAGGCGACTGTTAGGGGGATTATCAGAGCCTGTGCTGGCAGCAGATTCATTGAATTGTGCTATAGAAATAAACGTTTTATCGCAGTAAACATGATCTCCCTTGCCCTATTTCTAGCTGTTATTAAATGATCAAATGTGCAAATAAAAACAGACAATGCCGAGATTTACCTGCACACCAGAGAGTTACACAGCGCAGATAACGGTGCGAATCGGGGGCAATCCAGTGATGTGAGAAACCTCTTTCAAAATGAGACTTTTCATTGTGTGTGTCAGTCTGTCCCACTATTGGAATTCTAGTCAGTCACTCAGACAATATTGTAGTGAGTTCATTACAAATACTAGCAATTCAGAACTGTGTCAGCTATAACCTCTATGTTCTAGTATACTGACCCCAGTGCCTGACCGTGCATACTGTAAGCCGCTGACCCCAGTGTCTGACCGTGCATGCTGTAAGCCGCTGACCCCAGTGCCTGACCGGGCATGCTGTAAACCGCTGACCCCAGTGTCTGACCGGGCATGCTGTAAACCGCTGACCGCAGTGTCTGACCGGGCATGCTGTAAGCCGCTGACCCCAGTGTCTGACCGGGCATGCTGTAAGCCGCTGACCCCAGTGTCTGACCGTGCATGCTGTAAGCCGCTGACCCCAGTGTCTGACCGTGCATGCTGTAAGCCGCTGACCCCAGTGTCTGACCGTGCATGCTGTAAGCCGCTGACCCCAGTGTCTGACCGGGCATGCTGTAAACCGCTGACCCCAGTGTCTGACCGGGCATGCTGTAAACCGCTGACCCCAGTGTCTGACCGGCATGCTGTAAGCCGCTGACCCCAGTGTCTGACCGGGCATGCTGTAAGCCGCTGACCCCAGTGTCTGACCGGGCATGCTGTAAGCCACTGACCCCAGTGCCTGACCGTGCATGCTGTAAGCCGCTGACCCCAGTGTCTGACCGTGCATGCTGTAACCGCTGACCCCAGTGCCTGACCGTGCATGCTGTAACCGCTGACCCCAGTGTCTGACCTGTGTGATCTAGAACACTTGCCCGTGTCTGACCTGTGTGATCTAGAACACTTGCCCGTGTCTGACCTGTGTGATCTAGAACACTGCCAAATAGCTAGCACTCCAGCCTCCTGGATCTTGTTAATGGCGTGCCACCTGCAGCTGGATGAAGTCAGCTTTCTACGGCTGACTCTCTAACAAATAGAACAAGCTTTATCTGAAACAATGCACCTCTCGGCACTCTCATAGCAGAGCGAGGGGGCAGTATACAGACAGAGATACCGGATACCCCGTGTGCCTTAATTCACACACTCGCTGCATGCTTGTGGATTTTATGTGATTTTACTTCCAGGGTTTGAAACTTGCAGTCCCATGCTACTAGCCAGGCCTTAAATGTTACTTGCAACTGCAAGCCATAGTGTACCCTCCAAAGGGGAATTTCTACTAGTCAATGGCTAGTGGAAATGTTGAGCTCTGATATATCCTCTCTCAGATCCGATGTCTACACAGGGAGACGATGTCAGTCGTTTACTCTTTCACTGCTGGAGATAGATCGATAGATATTTTTTCAATGATTATTATCTGGTGGACACTACCCACAGTAACTTCTAGACCAGCCACTACTGCTCACATTAATTCATTTCAATTACCTTAATAATTAAGTTACACGCAATTAACCCCTTGTATCCCTTCACAGGGAAAAATAAGGTAAGACCACAGCAATAATACTCCCAGTAATGTGTCTGAGTGTATGATAGAGCTTCACAGCAATACTACTCCCAGTAATGTGTCTGAGTGTATAACAGAGCTCCACAGTAATAATACTCCCAGTAATGTGTCTGAGTGTATAACAGAGCTCCACAGCAATAATACTCCCAGTAATGTGTCCGAGTGTATAACAGAGCCCCACAGCAATAATACTCCCAGTAATGTGTCTGAGTGTATAACAGAGCTCCACAGCAATAATACTCCCAGTAATGTGTCTGAGGGTATAACAGAGCCCCGCAGCAATAATACTCCCAGTAATGTGTCTGAGGGTATAACAGAGCTCCACAGCAATAATACTCCCAGTAATGTGTCTGAGTGTATAACAGAGCTCCACAGCAATAATACTCCCAGTAATGTGTCTCAGTGTGTAACAGAGCTCCACAGCAATAATACTCCCAGTAATGTGTCTGAGTGTATAACAGAGCTCCACAGCAATAATACTCCCAGTAATGTGTCTGAGTGTATAACAGAGCTCCACAGCAATAATACTCCCAGTAATGTGTCTGAGTGTATAACAGAGCTCCACAGCAATAATACTCCCAGTAATGTCTGAGTGTATACCAGAGCTCCACAGCAATAATACTCCCAGTAATGTGTCTGAGTGTATAACAGAGCTCCACAGCAATAATACTCCCAGTAATGTGTCTGAGTGTATAACAGAGCTCCACAGCAATAATACTCCCAGTAATGTGTCTCAGTGTATAACAGAGCTCCACAGCAATAATACTCCCAGTAATGTGTCTGTGTATAACAGAGCTCCCCAGCAATAATACTCCCATTAATGTGTCTTTAACCTACAATAAATGTCTTTAGAAATCAGTCTGTGTAAATAAATTACATTAGTTGGATAAATTATTAGAATGTTAGAACAGCCACGTCCCTGGCCACACTCCTAAAATAAAAGGGTCTCTTTGTCCATGTGAAATGTTATATCGCGTTATATCCCCTTATATCGCAGTTATATTCCGTTATAGTGCGGTTATATTCCGTTATATTCCATTATACCGCAGTTATATTCTGTTATAGTGCGGTTATATCCCGTTATATCACAGCTATATTCCATTAAATCCCAGTTATATTCCATTATATTCCGTTATATTCCATTATATCCCTCGAACGAATTGTGTATGCGAGATTGACAAACTTCCTCGAGTCCAACTCTGCTAGACCCGATTCAGTCTGGTTTCCGCGCGAAGCACTCTGTGGAAACGGCACTGACCAAAGTATCCAGTGATCTACTTGCTGCAAAATCTCGTGGTCACTACTCTATGCTAATTCTCCTTGACCTGTCTGCGGCTTTTGACACTATTGATTATCAACAGCTTTTTCTCATCCTCTGCAATATCGGTCTACAAGATATTGCTCTCTCCTGGTGCTCCTCCGACCTCTCCCAGCGCTCTTTCAGTGTTTCTTTCTCTGGCTCTGCTTCTTCTCCCCAACTCCTCCCTGTTGGTGTCCCCCAAGGTTCAGTCCTTGGTCCCCTATTGTTCTCCATCTATACTGCCTCCCTTGGTAAACTCATTAGCTCCTTTGGCTTCCAATATCCTTTCTATGCAGATGACATGCAAATCTACCTGTCCTCTCCTGATCTCTCCCCATCCCTCTTGACTAGTGTCTCTGACTGCCTCTCTGCTGTTTCTAACTGGATGGCTGCCCACTTCCTTAAACTAAACTAAACTTGACCAAAACTGAAATTCTGGTCTTTCCTCCCTCAGGTGTTGTTACTCCTGTGTCTGTCTCCCTCCGAGTCAACGGTGCTACCATCAGCTCCACCACGCAGGCTCGCTGCCTAGGTGTTCTCTTTGACTCCGACCTCTCCTTCAAGCCTCATGTTCAGTCTATCGCCAAATCCTGCAGCTTCCATCTCAAAAACATTGCGCACATCCGCCCCTACTTAACGCCAGATGCGACTAAGGTGTTGGTCCATTCCACTGTCCTTTCACGCCTTGACTACTGTAATCCGCTTCTCAGTGGTCTTACGTGCTCCCAACTTGCGCCGTTACAGTCCATAATGAATGCGGCAGCGAGGCTCATCTTCCTGTCTGCCCACACCTCCCATGCCTCACCCTTCTGTCAGTCCCTACATTGGCTTCCTATAAAATATAGAGCTCAATTTAAAATTCTGGTTCTTGCTTTCAAATTTCTACATAATGCTGCTCCCACCTATCTTTCCTCCCTTATACACAAGTACGTCCCGTCTAGGCCCTTACGCTCTGCTGAAGACTTACGTCTATCTTCTGTCCGTACTCCCACCTCTGATGCTCGCCTTCAAGATTTTTCGAGGGCTGAATGTTCCTGTGGAACTCGCTTCCCTCCTCTGTTAGATGCTCACTCAGTCTCCACTCCTTCACAAAATCGTTAAAAACCCACTTCTTCATAAAAGCGTGTCAATTAAACTGTTAATAGCTCCTGACTGATTCCTCTTCTGCAACTTTCACTAGTCTAATACTATCCTTACCTTTTTGTGTCATTTTACCCAACTCCCACTAGCATGTAAGCTCATTGAGCAGAGCCCTAAACCCCTCTGTTCCTGTGTGTCCAACTTGTCTGGTTACAACTACATGTCTGTTCGTCCACCCATTGTAAAGCGCTGCAGAATTTGATGGCGCTATATAAATATCATAATAATAGTTATAATCACAGTTATATTCGGTTATATCGCAGTTATATCGCAGAACTCTCAGTAAGAATAATCCCCCCATTTATAAAGACGCTTTAGATTCATACAATACTTATGTGGAGTCTCTCACACAGTATGTTCTTCAGTTGCTCAAATACATAAAGAAAACCATAAATAAAACAAACAGCATAAATATGCTTTATTTTTGTTCTATTTACGTTTTTCTGTTTTATGTGTGAACATACTGTGTGATTGATTCCACGTTTCTCTGTATGTCTCGAGAATAGCGAACTCACAGCCATTGACTAGAACTCAGAGCCATTTCATCCAATAAAGGTTCTGCAAAGCATTCAGTCTATACTGCGCCAATCACGGTAATGGGTTCTCGACCTCCATCCTGACCCTCACTATTACAATCCGCACAGCCCTGAGGACCCCCGGGACACAGGCGGACACTGGCTTAGTGACCATCCACAAACATCTATAAAACATCGGATTGGACTGGGTGGAAACTGGAATGGCAGTAATGCCCCCAAAATGCTAGATTTGGAAACATGATTAAACTCTTATCACTGCATGCTTATTCAACCTAAATCTAGGAAATGGGGGGTTATTATTAACATTTATATAGGGTTAACATATTCCACAGCGCAGTAAAAATATACAATGGGGGTATAAAGAAATTATTGATTGAGAGATGAAGACCCTGTTCAAACCGGCTCACAATCTAATACGATAAATATAGATTGTGACAGACAATAGACTTTGTTCACTAATCACCAACTTGTAGTGAATTAAGCAAAGTTTAGGCAAAAGTAGCCAAGCTGTCACTAGAGGGGAGCAAGTGACTTTCCAAATTAACTATTTTTGTGTAAATGTTGGCCAACACAATTCAGCTCACCGTGCGTGTTAGAGTGTTCTATATTCCTGATGGCGTGAGTGCGCTGCCAGTAACTAAATCGTGCATTCTCGGGCAGAAAATTAGACATTCACACCAAAACAACAAGTAGAAGCATTCAGTTTGTCCTAAAATTTGAAATTAATTTAGAATTTCTGATAATTCCCATTTTAGAGACCAGTGCTGAGTGTATTTCGAGTGATGGGCTGCATGTATATTGAGTGATGGGCTTCATGCGCCGCGAGCGAGTGATGGGCTGCGTTTATATCAAGTGAACAACATTTTTTCTACAGTGAGTAGATCGAATGATCAGCTGCAGAAAAAGTTTTGTTTTAAATACTTGTATATTGTACAAAGTGTGATAAAGGTTACTGCTTCATTTAGAATAACTATTGCATTTACAGGCAAAGTAACAGTAAATGCTTGATTACCATCTCCTCTTACACAGCTATCAGGACACGTACCTCTCCCCCTCCTAATACAGAGCTATCAGGACACGTACCTCTCCCCATCCTAATACAGAGATATCATGAGAAGTACCTCTCCCCTTGTCCTAATACACAGACATTGGGAGACTTATCTCACACCTCCTCCTAATACACAGATATCGAGAGATAGAGATAGATAGATAGATAGATAGATAGATAGATAGATAGATAGATATAGAGATAGATAGAGACCGATAGATAGATAGATAGATAGATAGATATAAAGATAGATAGATAGATATAGAGATAGATAGATAGATATAAAGATAGATAGATAGATATAAAGATAGATAGATAGATATAAAGATAGATAGATAGATATAAAGATAGATAGATAGATATAAAGATAGATAGATAGATAGATAGATATAAAGATAGATAGATAGATATAGAGATAGATAGATAGATAGATATAAAGAT